GCCTTAGGTGTGGCTTTTGTGGCCGTCTCTGCTGTCTCAGCATCGTGTAGAACTACATCTTTTTCTACTTTTCTTTCTTCTCCAAACTGGATTCATCGAGAAATAGATTCATCTGCAGTCGGATGAATCCGGTTTTTCGTTGAATGGCTATTAAGATACTAAAAATTATGGCTCGAATTCAAAGGTCAAACTGCTCAATAATTTTAACTCATTTCTCATATATCGAAATTAGCTTTCTTCTTATATATCGGAAAAAAAACATAATAAATTGTTAAATGAGGTAGAATTTTTAGGAATCTTCGGAACAGTTAGAGTAGCAGTGTTACACTTTCTAATCCTTATATGAAAGTTCATTCAGATGGAAGTTCTAAGAACGTAAGAAATAGAAAAGTAACGGCGACATTCTAAATTCCGGTTTTATTCTAAAAATTAGTGAAAGCGAAAATTTTTCAATTGTAGATAAATTAGATGATTTACTAATAACATTAGATAAATCATATAGGGATGATGTTTTTAATAATAAATAATTTTTTACTAATAAAAACTTTTAGTTTTTCCTTTAAGTTTGTTTATTTGACTTTTATATTGCATAAATAATATATTAAATAAAATAATAATGATAATAGTAATGATAATAAATAATGATAAGAAAGAACAATTTATTATTATAAATGCATAAAAAGAACTAAAAAAAAAAATAAATAAATTGAAAAAAAATAAGTTGAAGATATTAATAATATTCTAATATTTAATAAAATATACTTCTTTCCTTCATTTGCACAGTACTTTATTGTGATAATGTTGTTTTCTTTTAATCAGCATTTCTCACAAATGATTTAAATAAAATTCAGGTAAATTATAGCCTCTATATATATATTGTTTTACATTTAAATTACAGAGCAATTTTTTTATATAATTTTTGTTAAAAATTAAAAAAGAAAAAAAAAAGAAAAAAAGAGGGAAAAGATATGTTTCTCAAAACAGACAAACAGATAAAAATATTATATATAATGAATTTTTCTATTTAATTCTTAATACTATTTGGCAGTATCATTTAATTATATGTGTATGTATGTAATAACACATCAAAAAATGTTCATAGCAATAAAATAAATATATTGAGATCCATGAGCAAATAAAATGAAAGCTTAAAATATATTATTAAATCAATGAAGATAATCATATATCATGTTTTATAACACACAGCAATGAAATATCATTGCATTATATATATATATATATATGTATATATCTATATGCATTTAATACACACAATACTAACAATAAGCGATACAAATAGATGATAATATAATTTATCAAATACAGTCTATAATACGATTATTTTTATGATTTGTAATCTATGGTTTATGGAGAAAAAAATTATGGAGTATTCGTCGTTAATACTAAATTACATATATATTGAAATATATATATGAAACAGTCTTACGTTAAATAATTATAGGAATACTTTGAATTTGAACTTGTATAGAAGCATAAAAATGATCAAAAGTATATTTACCAATTATCTAAAAATTCAAATCCAGTCTTTGGTATACATCTTTCTTCATCTTCGTGATTTAATTGAGAAGACTGAAAACTACTATAAGAACTAGGTGTTTCTAAGAGAGCTGTTGATTCATTAATATCACTTGACTTTGTTCGTGAAATAGCTACAAGTGTATTAGATTGACTTTTATCCGAATCTCTATCGTGTACCAAACTTTCCATATCATCCTCCAAATTATTTTGCAATTTTAATAAGGAAGTTTTATTAATTAATTTTGCAAATATACTCTCGGAGTGTTCGGTATCTATGTCACTATTACGTAAATTTCCACACGGTTCATCTTCAAATATACTTTTGGAATAACACTCCGATTGATAACGATTAGTTTGATTAGAATTATAATTATCGGTAATTGAATTAGTATTATTTCTTTGAGTTTTAATTGGACTTGAAAAATGAGGAGATTCTCCGAAATGAGATCTCAGACATTTGGATGTAAAATCTTCATTAGGATCTATTAAATTTAAATTCATTTGTGATTGTGTCATAAATGAAAATGGTGCAGAATGTTCATCTCGCCATTTTAATGTCTGCAATAGAAAAGACATAGACATACAATGATATATAACAAAACTACAACTATTTATGACTACCTTGAAGTTTTAGTTTTAAAGAATTCTATTTAAATATACTTACAGATCCTGTTTCATCGATGACGTATTTCATGCCAGTCTGAATACGAAGTTTCGGATACCAATCTGGTAATTCTTTAGTAAGTTCAACTTCCTTAACTGCATATTGTAAAGCTACCTCGGGTTGAATTATAGTTTCATTAATAGCCTGGTTCCGTTCTGATATGCTCAAAGTATTCCAAAGACCCTCATAAGCTTCTTTTGTCACAGTTATATCTTCGCCAATACGTTGAGCCAAAGGACTTAAACTATAAAAATATTTTTCTGCTCTCGAACTAAGTGTACCTGTACTCATTATGTTATACTAAAATATAAGAAATAAAAATTATCTTAAAAAATAAACTTTTAAAGAATGTAACATAAATTTTTACAAATTTTCCATATACGTACATATACACTTTCTTCGAATTTGAAAATTATTGTATAACCTATACACTTTAATACTACTACACTAATATTATTATTACAAAATTATAAATTATTATTGTAGTTATCTATACGTAATAAATATAAGCATAAGCAATTCTATTGTCTTTCATGATGTCTGTATCAATCAAGATCAATAAATACAAATTACCATTATGTGCTACAACACATTATATATCAATAAATATACTATTAAAAGAATTAACAAATAGAAATTGTTAATGTGTTATCAATTTCGACATCGAATAAAAATTAATCGTTTAATTGTAATAAGATCATGGCTAATATATGCTCGCACTATTTCACCCACCAAATCGAAAGAAAATTTCACATTGCACAATAATGGCGTACGCTGATTGGCCAGTTTGAAAATTTTTTCCAAACAGTAAAATTACCGCGGAAAATACAAAAGTCATTAAAACTTACAATTTAGTTTAGCCTTCATTTTCGAATAAATGTCTTAATATATTGTAAATTAAAATTAATAAAAATGTTAGATGAAGGATTTTGAATTTAGCTTACGAAATTAACCAATTATTAAATGTTGAACTGGTAGAATCTATTTAAATATAAATAGATTATACATTAAATATAAATACACATTATATATTATAATATTTATATTTTAGATTAAACAAAAAAGAAATATTTGCAGTGTCTGATTGCTTCCATATATGTATATATATATGTATATATATATCTACTTTATCAAAATATTATACTAATCAGGTTTTTATTATTATACAAATATATACGGCGATCATATTATCATTATTATTGTGAATCAGTTCTTATTACACATCTTGGTTTGACAGAGTTACTACATCTATATACGAACAGAATACATATGACACGTATGTATGTATATATATACATATATATATACATATATATACATATATACATATATATATATATATATACATCCATATATATAACATAAAACATGATGGGAGATAATGACTTACAAATAACAATGTATCAAGAGGAATGATAATAAATAATAACTGAGTGCTGTGTTATTTCGTTGACCATAATTAACAATGATTTAAATAATGTTGGTAGGTATGTGTACCTTTAATTTCGTGTACGTTTTAAGCATAAATTTCATTAATATAGAATAAACAAATGTATTAACTAAGTATGAATGTCCCTTTTCACAAAAGATATCTATATACAATTCATTATCGTACTTTAAAATACAAAATGTAAACGATAAATTAAATTTGTTAGATTTATATAATTAATATATAGTAACGCGCTATTTTAATTTCATAACTTCTGAATTTCTTATTTTTTATTGGACGCAAGTAGTAAGATATACATATATATATATATATATATATATATATATATATATATATATATATATATATATATGCATATGTACATATATGTGTGTATATATATATATATATAACAAGAATGAATCGTCGATTAGAAGTTTCGAAATACACTATCTTGTTAAATTAGCAAAAAATACTCTGCCTTTAGATACATCAGCAACTTTGTGGATTTTGCATTTGTACATAAAAATTGCTGTAAATACAAAAACTTTTCAATAACATTGAAAAAGCGCGCGATAGTAAATATCCAAATTAAAATAATATACAATTTCAATTTATTATATTTTTGTTCAATATTTATGAAAATAGATTACTTTTCTTTGACCTAGAGCAAAAATTTAATTGTATATAATAATAAATTTATTTAATAATATATGTAATATTATTACATATATCATTAATATATGTAATATGTGATATATATACTGTTAATTATAACTATACTATATAATGTAAAATTATCTACTAGTGTGCTATGTTAAAATTATATAATTTATAGATTTAACATATAGATAATGTGTCTATTTTTAATTAAAAAATAATTATAAAACGTATTGTTTTAATCGCAAACTTTTAACAAAACTAAATATAATATTTATATTTATATATTAATTACAATTATTTTAGTAGATATGTTTTCAATATTGCATATTGAATATACTGAAACATACAATATTTTAACAAAGCACACTTCATATTCAAATCAATACTGATTTTCAACACCATCAAGTTACATGAACGTAAGTGCTGCACCGCACCACTTTTTTTAATCTAAATTTTACATCAATTCTTTTTTTAATTTTAGAAACCTAAGCTCTTTACCCACAATTATCATGTTTTTAAAACATGTATTTCAATACATCTTATTTGATTAATTGTCATTTTATGATAGTATATTGTCAATATTTGTGAAAATAATGCATTTAAATAATAAAATAATAAAATATACTGAAAGGGACTTTAACAGAATTCACTTTTTAATATTGTTTGTAATAATGGAAAAATGTTGTGCAAGCACAAAAAATTATAAATATTTTCAATATTTATTAGTGCACCTTCTTAAGAGAACAATTTTCCATGTGAAAATGCCTGTTAATAAATTTTACTGAACTCTCCCTTTTTTTTCAAAAAAATACATTACATTGATAAATTTACACATGAAATACACCATTTACTGTTATATTAGTGGAGAATATGTGAATACACAGTACATAATTTATTTTTATTGATTATAGTTTTCACGGACCATTCAGAGTTATTGTAAACATATTGAGAAGTTTTCCTAACTTTTAGGATTTAAGAATACTGTTGTGTTATTCTAAAATTATACAAATTAAATTTATACTTCTGAAAAGTGAATTGATAATTCTGAAAATGTTCATCCCCTTAAAAATAAACAAATAATGACAAAATATTATCCATTTAATTGTATCAATGTTCAGATTTATATAAATAAATCTAAATCATGAGATATATATTTCTAAAGAAAAAATTAAAATTAAAAAAAAAAAAAAACGAAAGATTAGAAAAAAACAAGTCATGGAAAGAACAATATAACATATGAATTATCCAAGTTAAAAAATAATGATTGTGAAAAACTTGAAAAAAATAAAAATAAAAGATCCTGCATAGTATGATCACCAAAGAATTTTTTTTCAGTTATGACGTATTAGTATTAGTCAAATGTTTGAGAGGACCAATACTCAGTACCGATGTAGCACCAAGTGCGCCTAAATTACATGTATTAGGATTTCTAGCACCATCTATAGTTATTAGTGGTAAACCAAAATATCCTCCTGTTTGAGCACTTAATTGTGATAATGGTATATAACTTTGAATCCCCAAATTTGTTAAGCGATTCAAAACGTGTGAAGATTTTAAATCTACGACTGGAATAGCCAATTCTATATTTCCATTTGGTGACGTAGGATCAGGTTCCCGGTGATAAGTTTGTTTGTGCGAAATTAGTGCATGAGCTGATGGATATTGAGCAGTACATAAATTACACCTTCAAAAAAATACAGATTTTTTTATTAATATTATATATAATTATTTAATAATTATATATATATATATATATTATAAAAAATAATAGAACTTACTTGTGATTAAGTTTATTTAATAATCGATGATTTGCTAAATGCTGTGATAACATTTCTTGATTTTGGAAATTTTTATCACACATTTGACAATAAAGTGATGTTGCTCTGAAATAAACATATAAATTTCAAGAAAATCAAATACAATTGAAATAAATAAATAAATATATATATATATATATATATCTCCATACCTTGGAGGCCTTCCTCGTCGTATAGCTGGTACTTGAGGTGGATTATCTTGCGTTAAATCTACAGTAGGTGGTCTAGGTGGCCGATCTGCATCATTTATTGGTGATTTATTTTGCTTATTTTGAGGAACAGCAAATTGACCTTGTTCTTGCTGCTTTCTTTGTGAATTTGCTGGTACAATAGAAATAGCTGAATTTAAATTAAGAGATGGGACATTTAAAGATGGTTGATTAGAAGTAGGCCTTTGTTGTTGTACTGATGATTGGTGTTTATTTTGTTCACCTGTTTTATTTTTATTTGCGGCTGGTGTAACTGTAATACCTCTAGCTGCTAATACATTTGCTACGGCCTTTGCATCAGACTTCTTATTACCAGGATTTGTTGTATTTTGAAGTTGAGCTGAGGTAGAACCTTTTGATTAGTAAGACATTTCTATATTTTTGAAATATACCTCTTCAATATTTAATGTTAACATTAGGTAAAATAGAAATATAGTAAAACGTACAATAATTCAATTAGCAATATATAAAACATTTTAAAAAATTAATGAAATATAACAATGACTGAATAAAAAAATAGAAAGTAAAAAAATAAAATGGAAAGCTATTGTTCAGAAGAGGCACTTCAATGAAATTAATCAACATAAAATATTGAAAACTAGAATTATATAAAATTGATATATAAAAATATGAAAAAATAATTGTTCAAGCATCATAAAATATAATTATTTAATAAAAATATTATTAACATCCTTGAATAATAATATCGTATGAAATAAATATAAAACATAATATAAATAATGTTAATAATATTCTTCAGAATATTACAACACAATTAGTTTCAACTTACCAGGTTGTCTAACACTAAGAGTTATTGAATCCGTAAGATGTATTGTTGAATCATTTCTATTTGTTGACTGTGTCGTAGCTCCTTGAACATTTTGTATTACAGGTAATCCATCATTTCTTTTCTGTTGTGCAATAACATGACAATCTGCATCTTCATTTCTATCTGGCATTAAAACATCCATCTTTCTTTGTTTTAAAGGAGAATTATTTTGTTGTTGTTGTTGTTGCTGTACTTGCATTGTTTGTTGCATTGGTCTTTTTAAACGTTGACGAGGAACTACACCACTTTGAGGTATGCGTGGTGCCCTAATAAAATTCATATATAAATATTAATTACTATAGCTTGGTACATATACATTTAACATATTCAAATAGACATTTTGAAGATTATAATTAGCTTAAAATATCTTACCTAGTGTTTTGTGTAGCCGACGGATATCGTCCGCGTGATATTGGTTGAGGAAGTTGGGGATGCATTTGTGCCGGTGTCATCTGCGGATATGGACCAGGTCCATATTGTGGATATAAATGAGATAAATGAGAAGGGTAATGCATACTCTGCGGACCAGGAACTCTATATAATGATGGTCTTCCTGGTGGCTGTACAAAATAATTTGGTCCTGGTATCATAGTATTAGCTCCTGGTGGAAGACTTGGAGGTAATTGTGTTTGTGGAAGAGGCATACGTTGCACTTGTTGAGCTAGTTGCTGTACAGGTGCTGGCAATTGTTCAAAATTAACTGGTGGTATTATTTGTTGGCCTGTATTGGCTGTAGTATATGTTGGAGAATTTGTTTGATGAGGAGATGTCAATGGAGAATTTGTATTAAGTTGCGATGGAGATTCCATAGACGGAGCATGTGGCGAATGCGAATTCAACTGTGGAGATGTTCGGCATAAGTATGGTGAATTTTGATTTAAATGAGGAGAATTCGTATTTAAGTGTGGTGATAATTGACTAACATTTGGAGAAAGTGACGTTCCATGCACTTGAGACTTGTGCATTGAAACTTCTACTGGCGAATGGAAAATAAGATTGGCACAATCTGGAATATTGCAATGATAATGACCAGCTTTACTACGATGCTCATCAAGATGTGCTATATCCTTAAACTTTTCATTGCAAACACGACATGTATTAACAGTTTCTGCTAATTTCTCTAGAGAAACATATTCAGTTTCAACAGGCGGTAGACTACTTGATATCGATTCACTTTGATTGCGTCTTTGGTGTTCAATTAAAAAATTTTGCAAAAGTGAAGTAGAACTTTCAATATTGTTTTCATTTGAATTTTCTCCTTGTGCCTCATTCTCCTTTAAATTAACTTTATCTTTATGCGTTAAATCAGTAGACGATTGATTCCAATTAAACCCAGTTGATGTCTCTGTAGATTGTTTTGGATCATCTTCAGATACAGAATGATTAGAAAATGTGGAAGACTTAGAAATAATGCTTATGGCTGGATTTTCTTCAAGATCATGTATCATATCTACTTCATTTGCCGTATCATCATCTTCATTAACAGAAGAAATAATTAAATGATTCACAGTTCTAGAACTGAAAACGTTTTCATATGTTTAATAAATATATTAGCCAATTAATAAATATATTAACCAATTAATAAATACATTAACATAATCATAAGTTACCCTGATTGTTCTCCCAACATCTTTAGATTTTCTATAGTTTCTCTGCATGTTGCTTCTAAGGCATCAGATTCTTCATGATCATCTGATTCTAAATACCTTTTTCCTGAATTATCATAATGATCTGTCCCATGTAAATCATCAATGTTTTGATCTTCCTTTTCAGATATATTTGCCATATCACTCCCTACTCCAGAATCAACTTCATTGATATCTAAGGATCGTCTTTCGTTTCCTTCCAAAGCATTATCATTATCAGTTTCAAATTTCTCATAATCATCCTATAGAAATTTGAAATATAATTTAGACAATATAAAAACTTAAATAACTTTTAATCTATAAAAACATACATCTTGATCTACCATCACGTTTTCGAATGTTTCTTCAGTTGAATTTTCTGTATCTTCTGTATCTGTTTGTTCATTTTTATCCTCTGCACCTGCCACGTCTTCTGTAGAGTAATTACCTATGTTCAAATTATGATTAGTATTGACAACAATAAAATTCTCAGACACCGATGATTTCTTAAGTGTTAATTTAAGAGGATCAGTATATGTTGTTTTCTTAAGTTTTAATTTGAGAGATTGACTATTTTCTGAAGTCAACCAATACGTATCGTTGTAATTTCTGTTCAATGTTTCTAAATTAGTAACTCTCTTAAGTATTACACGAGGCCTTCCTAAATGAGTGAAAATATGTGTTCGTAATTGTTTCTTCGTTGTATATTGTACTTTACAAATTTCACATTGGAACAATTGTCTGGATAAATCATACGGTGGGCTTTGTTTATCTATTTGTTCACCTGTAACAATACACAGAATTATATTTCCAATTATAATAAGTATCATATTCAAGTTAAAAATGAACAAGAACAGAAACCGCCATTTTATATTAACAAATTTATAAATAGATTAAAAAAGATAGATATATTTCTTCGTTGATACTACAAAAAAAAAAAATACCTAACACAATTTGCCGCGCTTTCGTGTCTTATGAATTGATTACACCAATGTCACCAACGTTTTACATCATCCATGCAGATGATTCGTTGATCATATTGAGCATACTATTCTCGTTTATCTCTACTCACTAACCGATCAAAATTGCAACGCTCTACTATCACAGGATTGATGCTATGTAAACAATAAATGTATTTTATATTTATAATGACGTACGATAATACTAATGCGGAAAATGACTTTTTTTATTGTATATACGAACTGTTTAACACCCAAGTAGATTTTTGTTTTGCCATGAAAATGGGACAACAGATCGATATCATTTAAAGAAGGAATCCGATTGGTTCATATACTCGATATACAAAGTTCCCGCCACAATTACTTTCGAATTAACGCGATCTTAAACACGAGGCTTGTCGATCCGCCGAGTAGATGTATTGTCGTATATTTGAAATGTTCGTTTATTTATTTTTTATAACAAAAATAATACGATCAAACGATACAAAAAAATTATCGAAATATAACGTAAACTAACGTAAAATAAGAGAAGGTAAGAGATATATATTTCTAATAGATTTCTAATGTAAATCGTTAATATAATGGTATGTGTGTGTATATATGTATATATATATATATATAATATTTTATGTAAAGCAAACTTCCTAATTAATTAAATAATAGGAAGCAAATAATGAAATTATTTATAAAATAGCAAATAATGAATATTCATAATGACTAAAGCTATGACTATTAACTAAATATAAATTCATTGTTAAATTAAATATTAATTTAAATTTATAAGATATATAAATTATTTTGAAATGTTACTGGATAATATATTTTCTAAAAAAACCATTCGTTTTATATTATGTAAATTTATTAAAAATGGTTGAATTAAAGAAAAATAAAAAATGTTCAGTAATGGCATAGCCAAAGGATTAAAAGAATTAATTTAAAAGAAAAAGAAGTAAATTAAATAAATAGAAATTAAATAAGTTTTCATTAAACAAAATAACATACTATTTTCATAGATATTATATATTCTTTTGATAGAAAGGAAACAACAGCTCCATATAAAGTTATATGTACTCGTTATATTCCTTTTAAAATCCTTATGGCTTATATACATTCGTGTAATTTATTTACATGAACATATAATATTTTTCTATTAATTTTAATTAATGATCACATACCAAATGTCTGTAGAAAATCCACATCATTATCGTGATAAATTGTATCCTTTTTGGACAATCCAAATTTTCTAATATGGTTTTCTAATGGATCATTCATTTCCAATCTGTAAATAGTAATACAAAGCTTTTTTATTAAATATTATCAATTTATTAGTTGTATTTATAACAAGACTTGCAACGTTTTTAAACATGCCATACACAATTATTTACATAAATATGACTACACTGTTTTGCTTCTTTTCCTTTTTATTAGACTAAAAGATAGATATATATATATATATGTACATATATATAAATAGAGTACTTACAGGCATTGTTGCCAACAATGAAAATTTTCATAAAGTTAACAACATAAGTTCATCTGGAAACTCGCATGCGAACACTATTGTACATCGTACAATAACAAAACGAAACATTCGAAAAAATGGCTTGTATTCATCGAATCTTTCGAACCTCAAGTATAAAAATAATTATAATCTTTATCGTTGATAATCACATATAGATAATTCAAAACACAATAATGACAATTATTCGACATTTAAGAGGCCATACGAACAAATAGATTTTACATCGATGTAACGAATTCGTACCCAATATTCAGGAGAAATGGGGCCAATTAAATACGCGCGCTGGATAAATTTCCAACGTGAGTCAAAGTGACTACGCGCCAAATCTTTTCGATCTCTTTTTGTATTCTTTTCTTTTCTTTTCTTTCTTCACCGCACTACAGTGATCAAAGATCATCCATTCGCACCAAGGAGATCATCTTTCTGATCTTCTCTTTCTTGGTTTTTCACATCGATCAACAGGAGAGAAAGATCCGTAAATAACGACATAAACAAACGATGCGATGAAGATTTCTTATCGTTTGGAGGATATTAACATTCCTCTTATTTTTTTTTTTTTTTGCATATGATCAAATATGGCTGACAATGTTATAACATGACCACAGCGTATTCCTTTGTACGATACATTGACGCGGCGACCGTTTAACGATGGTGAAATCGACGTTTTTACTGCCACCGGACGCCTTTAACTTATTCTATCTCAATTTTATTATTAGTACGTGTTATATTCAGCCGCCAGTATAGCGGCGCCACCACAATGAAACCGCGCAACAGGACAAACAACAGCGTGAATTCTTACCGGACTGTTGAGCGCGGCTCAACGTCAGAGGTTCAGATTCGTTGTATCTTGTAAGGGCGCACGCGCGCGCCCGCGGACGCGGGCTGGCGAGCATGGAGCAGCGGGAGCCGACGGCGGGCTTCGCTCCCCACTCCGGGACGCTTGCGGTTTCCCTCTTTTTCCCCCACTTTTTACCACTCGTTTACTCTTCGTAGGAATGACGCTCGTTTAACCTGCCAACCAGCTCTCCCATCACGCTTACCTTTTCCCCCGTCAGCTCTGATACAGCGTTCCTTTATGAAGATTTCGAGGGTTCGTTGTCGACTGCGTACTTGTATGGTTAAACGTGCGCATGCGTTAGTTCTCCTCTAACCCTTTGCATGACACTAGGCGGAAGTATAAAGGGAGAGCAGCCAGATGCATATGACTGTAGGCAGGCTCGCTTCGTCAGAGGAAAGAAGAAAATGAGAAAGAGAGAGCGAGAGCGAGAGAGAGAGAGAGAGAGAGAGTGTGTGTGGGAAAGGGAGGAGGAAAAGAGAGACAAACATAGAGATAGAGATAGAGAGGGAGATGGGTAGATAAAAAGAGAAAGAGAAAAAGCGAGAACGAGTGGAAGAGATGGGAAACAACTCGAATTAAAATAAAATCAACTTAATATGCATTTGAAAGCTTGGTGGGGAACCAATGAAGCGATATTGACGCAGCGTACCTCCTACATTCCCGGATAAACTCTGTTTTTTCTTTTTTCTCCATTCTATCTACTCTCTCACTCTCTCTCTCTCTCTCCCCCCCCTCTCTCCTACACACCGTTTTTTTTTCTTTTTATCTTCGATCCCAGTCGTTCGTTCCTATCTTCTTTTCTTTTGAACTTCATTCACTTACCCTATTGTATCTATACGAATCCTCTTCCCTTCCTCCTCCAAAGTTCCATATTATTCCTTTTTTCCATTTGGATTTGTCCCAACTGAATCCTCAACCAAGTGAGTTCCTTGTTACCAATTGCCATTTACTATCGTCTATCTTTGTTATTTTTTTGTAAAGCGTAACAATGGCAAGTTTTAACAATATTTACGGAACTACTGATTCTATTTTGCAAATTTTTCGTTTTCATTCCTGTAACGTGATAACGAACGACGAACATTAAAATTATAAATTTAAATTGGTTAATCGATCGTAGCTGCAGCATTTATATATACATCTATGTATGCATCTAACTACGTACATACATACACAACATACACAACATACATACGCATACACATACAGACATTAATCGGGGGTGTGTCGTTTCAACATAAACGTAACCAAGAGAACCTTTAAGAAATGTTAGGCACGTATTCGCCTTAAAGAACCAGTTTTATCTTGAAAGCACGCAAGCAAGGCGTGGTCATTAATGGTTGGTCGTCGTCTTGGAGGACGAATATAGTAGGGGAACCCAACGGAACATGTCGAAAACGGCCGAGAGTGACGTTCCTCTATTGATCGTAAAGCGTGCTAGTATTAGTGTACAGAGCATAGCTGTAAGAAACTTGTGCACGTTAACATTCACACATATGAACGCATATACATGCATACAATGAACTTACCATCAGCAACATACATACATTAGAAAGCACACGACATATTCGAAAAGCTCCATGTGCTTGATTGATAAAAGATCGTAACCTTTTTGAATTAGCTTTGAAAATTATCATATAAATTAATATTATTAGAACAATATCATGAGAATTCAAAAAAAAAAAAAAATAGAAATAACGAAATTTTCAAGTTCACATTTATTAGATATTAATGACCCAACTTATTATTGCTTCACAATCTCCATCAGTTACAACGATGGAACAAATATATTCTCTACAAAATGGATCAATACTTCTGAAAAAAGTAACGCGCGTTGGCTTTCCTATTTTACTGTTTCTGAAATAAAAAAACTTTGATATGCAATCAGATGGTTAAATATACATACATGCAAACACAACACACAAACACACACATATATATATACATATACATCCATCTATATATATGTGAATATATGTATATATACATATAATCATATATATGTACATCTATATGTGTACATGTTTATATGAATATAAATGGCATTTTCACTGCAATCATACATGGTTATTGATCCTATTCTTTTTCATTACATCTCGTCTTTTGATTATTAACAACATCAGTAACAGAAACAGCATTAACAAGAGGCTTTGTGTTAGTATGGACAAAGATTGAATCTTCATAATGAGTGACAGTGAGTGAACTGGGATTACCAGGATATAGTAGTACGAATGTACAACCAGAATAAGAAAAGAAATGAAAAGAGATGTCGTAATAAAATAATAGACACATAACATATATATATATATATATATATATACATGTATATATATATATATATACATGTTTATATATGAATATACATATATAAACAAGTTTATATGAATATAAATGCAATTTTTATTCCAATCATCATGGTTATCGATCCTATCCTTTCCCGTCGCATCTTATTCTTTGATTATCAGAAACATCAGTAACAGAAACAGCATTAACAAGAAGCTTTGTATTAATATGGACAAAGAGAAAATCTTTGTAATTGGTAAAAGTATTACCATGATACAATCAATATGGTTCTATAACCAGAATATGGAGAGGGAGAGGAAGGAGAATAGGTATCACGATAAGATAATACACACATATACAGGCATCTATATATATAGATGTCTCATATAAATAAATATATATATATATATGGAATATATATGGAATATATGGGATATATATGGAATTTTCACTGCAAGCGTACATGACTATCGACCCTATCGTTACCCGTCGCTTAATCTCTTTTGAAAGCACCAACAGCATGTACAGAAATTTAGTACTAATATAGTCAATTCGAGGCGATCTCTTGGTGATGTGTAACAGAAAATAAAAGGGATAATAGCATTACCACGATACAGTAGAATGTTTGTATAACCAGAATAAGAAGAGAGAAGAGAAGGAAAAGAGGTGTGGCGATAAGATAATACATCCATATACATATATCTATATATGTATATATGTACATGTATATACATGTATATACATGTGTATATATATATACATATATATATATATGTTTATATGGTATATATATGGAATTTTTACTGCATGCATACATAATTATCGATCCTATCCTTAGCCGTCGGATCTCGTCCTTTGAATATCAGGTGCATCTATAATAAAAACAACATGAATAGAAGGCTTTATTCTTATATAAACAATGGACGGATCTTCGTAATGGATGACATGTAAATGAAAAGGAATAATAGCATTACTACGATATAGTAGTATGGATGTATAATCAGAATATGGAGAGAGATGGGCAAGAGAAGTGTCACGATAAGATAATACAAACATGTACACACATCAATTTATATATATATATATATTTATATATATATATATTTATATATATATATATATATACATGTTTGATTTATATATACGTGTATGTACATGTTCATTTATACATGTACATATGTATACATGTTTATATGGAATATATACGGAATTTTCACTGCAGGCATACATGATTATCGATCCTGTCCTTACCCATCGCTTATTGTTCTTCGATTGAAAGTAGCAACAACATGAAAGATTTGTATTAATATAGTCAAAGAGGGAATCATCGTGATGTGTGACTGTGAATGGAAAAGGGAGGATAGCATTACCACGATATAGTAGCACGATTGTATGACCAGAATAAAGAGAGAGAGAGGCGGGAGGTGGAAGAAGAGGTATCGCGATAAAATAATACACACATATACACACATCTATTTATATATGTCATATGTATATATATATATACATGTGTATATGGAATATATATGGAATTTTCACTACAGTCATACATGATTATCGATTCTATGCATATCCGTAGCATATTGTCCTTTGATTGAAACCAGCAACAGCGTTAGAGGAGGTTTTATTCTAGTATAGTCGAAGAGGAGGGGATCTTTGTGATGGTTGACAGAGAGTGGAAAGAGAATATAGCAGTACCAGGATATAGTAGTATGAATGTATAACCAAACATATATATATATATATACACATACATGTACATATATACATATATACATATATACACATGTTCATATATACATATATGTATGTACATATATTTACATTTGTAAATGTGTATTTATGCATATATATACATATATATATATATGTACATATATACATATTTATATGGAATATATATGGAATTTTCAGTGCAGGCATACATGATTATCGATTCTATCCTTACCGGTTGCGTATTGTGCTTTGATTGAAAGCATCAACAGCATGTAGAGGAAGCTTTGTTCTAGTATAGTCGAAGAGGGGATCTTTGTGATGGGTGACAGATAGTAGAAAGGGAGAATAGCATTGCGACATATAGTAGTATGGATGATAACCAGAGTTAGGAGGGAGAGAGGGTCAAAGGAAAAGAGGTATAGCGATAAGTACGTTAACCCAGAATGCTCGACTACTCTTACCGCAAACATCTCCTTTCGTCGTTGGGCTGCGTAGAACTTTTCCAGCTTTAATTCCATTTTGTTGAGTTTTGCATAAGTTTCTCTCTCTCTCTCTCTCTCTCTCTCTCTCTCTCTCTGTCTCTCTCTCTCTCTCTCTCTCTCTCTCTCTCTCTCTCTCTCTCTCTCTCTTCTCTTACTTAATTTATACTTAAAAGAAGAGAAACCTGTCTGGAGAAGATTTCGACTCTGCTTCAGATACACCGCAAGTATATTCTATTACGATATTATTCTTATCTCGAAGAATTTATAGTCACTATAAAATTTTGCTATTTATACAATGTCCTTTCTCTCTCTCTCTTCCTCTCTCTTTTTCTCTATCTCTCTCTTTATCTTTCTCTCCCTCTCTCTATTTCTCTCTCTCTTACACACACACACACACACACACACACACACACACACACATACGCGCGCGCATTTCAAGGCGGTGTTACGTGTTTATATCTGTATAATGTCTAATATCGAATAATTTCAAGGTTATAATTAGAATAACAAATTTAATAACCCATATATTCCCCAAAAATCCTAATTGAAAAATAGTAAAACTTTCTTTCTTTATTTCAATATTAACAGCAAAACTTTTGAAAATAAAAAATAAAAATGAACACGAAGTAGACTATAATACTGTTTTTCTGACTTGTTTATATCGCTACTATATATTCTCTTTATTTATGACTATTTGTGCGCAACGTCCTTCTCCCTTCCAACTATAACCCTTTAAATACTGTCTATTCGTTCTCTCTCTCCCTTGCTTCCTCTATCTTTTTCTGTCTCTCTCTTCTTCTCCCCAATTGCCTCATTCACCCTATTGCGCTCTCTGTCACTTAACATCCCTCTCCCTCTCCCTCTCTTTTTCACTCTCTCACTCTCTCTCTCTCTTGTATTACACTTCCTATGTTCCAGCTACTGTTGTGCGCAACGCTCTTCTCCCTTCCAGCTATTATCCTTTTGTTACTGTCTATTCTCTCTCTCTCTCTCTCTCTCTTCCCCTCTCCCCCTTTTCCACAATTCCCTCATTTCCTCCATTGCGCTCTGTCACTTTCTCTCTCTCTCCTCTCTCTCTCTCTCTCTTTCTCTCTCTTTTTATCGCTCTCCCTTTTCCACAATTCTCTCATTCGCTGCATTGCGGTCTCTGTCAATTATTCTCTCTCTTTCTTTATCTCTCTCTCTCTCCTTTTCCCCCTTTTCCACAATTCCCTCATTTCCTCTATTGCGTTCTCTCTCTCTCTCTCACTCTCTCTCTCCCTCTCTCGTATCACACCTCCTATATCCCGGCTACTGTTGTGCGCAACGCCCTTCTCCCTTCCAGCTATTGTCCTTTTGCTACTGCTATTCTCCCTCTCTCTCTCTCTCTCTCTCTCTCTCTCTCTTTCTATCTATTTATCTTTCTCTCTCTCTCTTTCCCCCTTTTCCACAATTCCCTCATATTCTCCATTGCGCTCTCTGACATTTACTCTCTCTCTTCCTCCCTGTCTCTCTCTCTCTCTCTCTCTCTCTCTCGTATCTACCTCCTATATTCATTAAAATCTACCTACGGGCTATAGAAATTAATTTATACAACTGAGCTCTTCCAAATTTTCCTAATATCCATCATCATTTCTCTTTTTCATAGCTTTCAACCTTCTGATTCTAAAATTGAATGAGAAAAAGAGAGAGAGAGAGAGAGACAGAGAGGGAGGGAGAGGGATGTTTAAGTGACAGAGAGCACAGTTAGATGAATGAGGCAATTGGGGAAAATTAATGATTTATCTCACATAGCAGAAAAACAATATATTTATGTAATATACACGCAAACGTACGTTCATACATACATGGATATATATATATTTTCTCTTTTCACAAAGTTACATCATTGATGAAGATTTATTCAAATTTTATTTTGAAAAAGTTTATGAATATGTACACGTATTTTGTCCTTCGATTTCGTTTTCTCTTTTTTTTTTTTCTTTTTTTTTCCTTTTTTTTTACCGTCTATATGAGAAAGAATATATTTTCGTTAATAATGAAAGTAATAAAAGTCTTCCATAAATAAATAAATAAATATTTTATATATGTTTAAATATGTATATATGTATATATGTATATATATATGTATATACATGTACGTATATTTTTTCTGTTCTAACCTTACATTCTTCTTTGGAACAAAAAATCTTACTTCATTTATTAAGGAAAGTATTATTAAAACTTAAAAAAGATATATTTGTCGACATATGTATAAAGATACATCCGTTCGCATCATCTTTATTTCCGTCGTACTGCGCAGGTACTTCGTGATTTGACCTCGTTTATTGACCCCCTGACGGTTGCTAGGCTCCATTCCTTCTGCCCGGTTTAAGCCTTAGCGACGTTGCCAAATTGTTTACAGCGGCAACAAGATTCGTGTTGAGAATTCTTGTAGTGATAGGCACAGAAATAGTCGCCTTAAGTCGTCAAAAAATTCAAAGAATGACTTTATAGTTGTCGCGTCATTACTTATTTTACTTCTCTATCCTTCTCGAACATGCAACTTCAAGATTAAATGCCCTAGATTTAAACTATCGATCAGATAATTAATATTTATTAATATATATATATATATATATATATGTATGTATGTATATATATATATATGTATATATATTTTTTTATTTCTTTACAATTATTAAATTGTATCATAATCTCTAATATGTGAAACAGATTTTTATAATCTCTTTCCTATTTTTTTACTTGATTCGATAACCTTTAACAAATTATGTAATTTTAACGTCACGTATCAATACTGATTTTAAAAAATTAAAAAATTCTTTAATCAACTAAACTGCATTTAAACATTATGGGAAGGCCATAAATAAGATTAAAATATGTTAAACTTAATAGTACATACATAGATACACACATACAATATCGCTATATAATATTCTAATTATTGTTTAGTTATTTCGTATTTTTCTCTCTTTTTATGTTTATTCGTATCTTTTTCTAATTTCTCCTTTAGCATAATAATATAATTCATGTCTGGTAATACTAGTTTTTGTTAATGTGGCAACAGTTACAAGATCACATTATCATAAATTTGGTTTCGTTTATAATATGGAATAAAAAGTAATTATTATAATTAATTCATAAAACTTTTATTATTTATAAATGAATAACTCATGTGATATTCGTTTGTAAAACAGCGTTGCCAAATGATTCAAAGAAAAATTGTTGACTGTGCATTTTCTTTTTTATTAGGTTAATTTGATGCCATGCTGACTCAAATTGGTTAACTTCTAACAGAAGTTTAATAAATCCAATAATGTAGTTATTTTAACTTACATATAAATCAATTTTTCTGATATTAGCAATGATTTTATGTTTTTAGATTAGTTTATTATTTTCAAATGTTTTTAATGAATTGTTTAAAAAGTACTATTATTATGTTGATTTATATTATGTTCAATAATAATAATAATAATAATAATAATAATAATAATAATAATAATAATAATGATAATAATAATAATAGTAATAAATATTTTACATTTACTTCTCAATAATAACGAAAATAATACAAATATAAATTCATTCGTTTCAGTTCGTGTCAAGCGATAATCTTTTAATTATTTTGATAAGAAGATCTTTATATTATTTTATATGTCAAGGCTTAAATACTTCATGTATATCATGCTTTAAAATGTTCTAAGACAATTGGAGACTATAATTAACTTACTCAATCTTATATAAGGAGTAAATGCATTACACGGAAACATGTTTGGGTCTTTGCGCAATAAATTCCAAATAGTACAAGAAGGTTTATCTGCAAGGTAATAATGATGGTCATTTAAATATTATTATTGATAAAATGACATATTTGTAAAAATAATTCTATGAAATATTTTTTTTTTTCTTTTTTTTTTACAGTATAAGAGGTTTAACAGTGGTAGAAAATCCTAACCAGAAAAAGACTATTAAATCAAGAAATGTTAATTATGATGCAGGTGCAGATGTTTTACATTATTTTCAGTTACAATGGAATGAATTACATGAATTGGCAGAAGTAAATGCAGCTAAAGCTCAAGAAGTTGATACTCTTATTACTAACGTTTATGGTAAATTGGAATATGAATGGAACAATATAACATATTTAAACAACACTTTAGCTATAATTCCTCAAATAAATAATGAAATTCAAAATCTTATGGATCAAATAGGTATTTTTCATATAAATAATATATATAAACAATACAATACAGTGTTAACAAAACAATTCATTTATCAATTATAAACAAAAAAATCAATATTATTGTAGGAACACTTGAAGAAATGTTCGAAGAAGTCGAAGGAGCATTGTATAAATTAGAAGATCTAAATGAAATGATAGATTTACAGAGCAGACAACTGGATCACAGATTTCAATTGGCTTTATATAAAGAAAAAAGGTTATCAGAAATCAATTCTGTAAAAGGTATATTGAGCTATTAACAAAAAAGTATTAACAAATTAGATTCTTAACACTTTATATATATATATTTTCTTTTTTTAGCAAAATTGGCAAATGAACATATTGACAGAGTATCAAAACATGAACAGAAGCAACAATTAATGTTGAAGGAACGACAAGAAACTTTTGATGAAGTATTTAAAGGAGAATTAGAAGCTTATAAAGCAACAGGATATATACCTAGTATGTTTGTTTCCTTTTATATTTGTATATATATTAAACCTAGTTGTGCACCAACTATGAGTTCAATTTAAAACAAGTAAATGTTTGTAAATAGGACTTGTGCTATCATTTATCTGTAGTTAAGATATGTATCTTTATATATCAATTATCAGAATAATCCGCGTTGTGTCAGTTGCTAAGTTATGATTGAGTAAAATTGAAGTTTATAAAATCTGGAGTGTGCCACATCTTGTGTGTACAGTAAGTTATTTTTATATTAATTTTGGATTCTCTATTATTGAAAATTTTTAGTCCATTCATGCTCTAAATAATGTTGTCTTAAATACAAGTGTGGTAGAAATTATTTTCTAGCCTTATGTCTCATTCATACTCAAAATCAAATGCAATCAATGAGAATGAAAAACCAATTATTATACAATATGAAAACAAAAGAGGAGTCAATTTTTTTGATCAGTTGTCATTTATTCACTGTTAATAGAAAAACTAATCATTGTGTCATAAGAATTTTTTTGAAATTAAAATTATTCATTTTGTATAAATGACAGCTATTTAAAGTGCTTAGGGTGTAGTACATTTCAAGTGTACAATTAGATATTATTTTGAGGTGTGCACAACTAAATTAATAAAGACGAAATAGATGCAGAACACTTCATGATTTAATGAAAATGTTTATATATGCATTTTTATTTCAGAAATACCAACAACTAAGGAAGGTCCATCTTTGGATGAAATAGTATTGGATGTAGATTCCCAAATGTTTAATGAATTCTTAGAGAATTGAAAATTCATTAAGACCTTATCAATAAGATTTCTTTTTCCATTCTTTATTTTTTACTCAATTAAATGCATTATATTATTTATTTATCTTATTAATTATTATATAACTATTTGTTTTTTTTAGGAAAGAGTAATATTTGTTTTTATTATTATATATATATATATCTGCATTAGTATGTATATGTGGCAATTAAATTGACTGTGACATTGCATCTTATTAATCACTTGCGCTGGAAAGACGTGTTACGCACGTCGATATGTGTTTGTCTCAAAATAATCAACGACGTATTGTACACATTGATATAACGGAAATAAAAAAAAAACGTGTATAGCACGTCGACTCAGATCATTGTCGAAGTACAATCTCGATGTGTACCGCGTAACGTGGAGTTATCGATACGGTTTCTCAAATAGATATACGTAGTTCAAAATTCTTACAATTTATAATACATTTTCTTATACGATAGTCAAATCAAATAATATATTTATTTTATATTAATAATTTCAACCAATATTGTAAAATGAAGAGCGACAATAGTGAATTTAGTAATATTATTTTGACAAATACAAAAAGAAAAAGATTAATTAAAATAGGTAGTGAAGATAGTATTAATGATTATGATTCTGATAAAATTGTTTTTCCATTTCGAAAGCGATGTAAAATCATATTTGATGATAAGGAAAAAAGTAGAAATGAAGATTGTAAAATTAATCTTACATCTAAGGAATGGATATGAAAAGACGCTGAAAATAAAAAGAGAATATGAGTCGAGTCAATACAAATAAACAAACACGCGTGATCAGGACAGGTGCGTATTTATTAACTTTCAGATCTTACACCACTTTTGGATGGTATTCTCGTAATGAAGTAATTGCCGCAAAAGTTTTGTAATAACTTATGTATTTTCGTTCCTGAATATTACAAATGACTATCGTTTAACCAGCCAATAGCTGATGTCCATCATATCTATCACATGCTTAGCACGCGAATGTTTTGTTTATTTCTACCGACTCGACTCGTTGAACGAAATATAATAGGACATAACTGTGTAAAATTATTTGCATAAGACTCTACAGAGATTTCAAGTAACGCTAGTTACGCTGGTACGTGCATTTACGAAGTAATTGCCAGTGAAAGTGATTAAATAAGTAAATAAAATAATATTAATACGTTCCGTGCCGCGTGGGACGTATGCGCTAAATTAATTAATTAGGAACGTTTTAAATTATTTCACAATCAATATTATATATAAATAAATGTTATACGGATATATAAATATTTTCAGGAACGATGTAAAATAATAAACAACTTGAAATTTTTTTACTATACTATGTAATGAAGCACGTATAATATTAATTCAATAATATTTTATAAATATATATTATATGAAAAAAAATGTATTTGCGAAAAAATAATATTATTAGTTTGTAATAATTTGATTATTATAAAAAATATATTATGTTTAATTTATAAATAATCTTATAATTTGAAGAAATACAGTTATCGTTGCCTGTATGTACTTTTATGAACTTACATCATTGAAACATCGGTAATATATGTATTTTCGATAACGAATTATATTACGTATTACGAGGCAAACATTTTAATAGTAATATTTATTGTAGTTACGTACAAGCGACTCCAGATGGCACTTCTTTCTCATATGTGTGTATCAAGATAATATGACGCCATACAAGCTTCTCATTCTGGTCAAATGTACCGATAAAGTCGAATGAAATCAAGTTTTTATAAAATATAAATAAATTGAGATATATATAGGTATGAGAAATTTAAATATTATTTTTCTATGTAAATTCAATTTCTTTTCTTTTATATCCATATTTTATTAAATACAAACAATGATAAATTAGTGTTTATTCATTTACAATTTTAATTCTGTAGTTGGAAAAAAATTTTATTTATGTTTTTTTGATATTAGTGAATAATGTCACTATGAATAATAAATATATGTATATACGTTTTGATAAATTAGATAATAAACATTTCATTGAAAAAAAGAATAAAGTTTGTATTTAATTAAAATTATTTGAGGTTATGTTAATTGATAAAACTACATCAATATATACATCAAATTATTACCCTTTATGTTTAAAATTTCTAATTTTAGATACTAAATCAATGTAAAATATGTTAAACCGCATAAAAAAGAAGGATTATTATTATGATAAATTACACAGAGGTTTTGTTAATGTATGTATGGCGGCAACAGTAATAACTGGAACACTTGTGTTATATTCAGCGTATCTCTTTTTTACACGTACTGTACCAGAAAATAGATTACAAATGGAAAAAAAAGAAAAAGACCTTTTAAGTGAAGGAATGGACTTAGAAGACACTGTATCTACATAATATTAAAATATGATTAAAATGTAGACAATCAAGGAAAGTGGTACTTTTGTAGTTTAGGCACCGTCCACTTTAAGTCCTCTTTTTTCTGCAGAAATAAAAAGTAGGATATGAAATATATTTGTTATCGTTGGAATATTTATAAAACTAAAGAATTTTTAGATGGCTTGTAGATTATTGCCATATATTTTTTAAGTATTCGAACAAAAGATATTACTTGTACCAATTTCATGCAATAATAATTTTCAAAAGTAGATTTCATAATGTAATCTAATAATAATAAAATGATTGAAACTTTAACTCTCTTAAATTGAAATGTATAAATCCTTAAATATTTATTTATATGTATATATAAAAAATTAAAAAAGAAAAAAAAAATTCCTTTATAAAAATATTTTTACCTACACTTCATATAGTTTTAATTAGAATTTTTTTCTCTATCATATAATAAAAAATTATAAAAATATAAATAAATATTATATTTAGAAGATCAGACAAAATATTACTATGTAGGAAATATAAATGACCGTAATAATTAAAATGTTGTTATAAAATTTGTATATTAAATAAACATTTTATATCTAATATATACATTTGAAGCTACTTGTAGTGATACATTTACAAAATATATGTTCAAAAGTACCAGAAATGTGTGTTCATGTGTTTTCATTTACTACAGTAGAGAACTGTATTAATTACAATTTGAAGTGATGAAGATGATACTTCTCATTAGGACGCAACCCAAAATAATATTTTTTGAATACAGAGTACAGCACGTATCTCTAAACATCTTATGTACAATGCTTGTATTCTGCGTAATAGACACATTTTGTACTCAGATTCTTGACTATGTTAATTGTACGCATTTTATAAAATTGTACTTTGAAAAAACATTCATACAATATACATGTCCATACCAAATTAAAAAAAATTTCCATCCATTTGTGTTTATATATATATATAAATATATATATACATATATATATATATATATATATATATATATATATATATATTTATATATATGTATATGCTATTTACATATGATTAAAGAGTTAATCATTATAAGTCGAAATGCATTACATCAAAATTTTTTATAAAGTAAGGAATTTATACAATTTCTGTAATTACACAGAATTGTAAGAAATTTATGACTTATAATGATTTTCTCTTATTTATTTATTTTTTTATTTTTTTTTTTTTTTATAGAAATATCATTCTTAAAGCATTGTCCTATACTTAACTCTTATATATTATATTAGGCAAACATTTTAGCTTCTTTCTTAAGAATATAATTGTGTCTATAATGTACCGTTTAACAAATATTTACAAGAGTCATATTAATAATATTACAAGAAATGAAATAATGGCTTACTTAATCTGACTTTTGTAGAATTCTCTCTTAATATTCTTAAGATTATAAAAATGATCATTTGTTTTTTTTTTTGCTTTTTTCTTTTTCTTTTTAATAAATTTCCTTCCAATTCTGCAAACTTTTATCAGGTTCGTAGAAATGAAATTGTAATTGAATTACATGATTCTTTTCTCTCCTATTACAACCTAAATTAAGTATTTACAAAATGAGTCTTGTTATATTGCAGATAATCAAATATTTATCATTTTATATTGAATCGAATACTTGCACAAACCCTCTGCAGCCCATAAATTACTTTAACTCAAGTTTTATATAAAATCAAATGCAAAAGGAAATAATTTATGAGCTATTAGATGTAGGATTAGAATTTGACATTGATTCTATGCGCATAGAATCGATCCTGGCTACTATTTTTAATGCAGGTCCTAATTTAATACTCATGGCAGACATCAAATGATCTTCCTTTAACAACATAAGAGCTTGTCCATCGATTTCTTGAATAGCAAAGTCTTCTGCATAATCAGCACAACCTGGCAAACCACGTATGAATTCGCACACTTCTCCTACCTACAAAAAATAAAAGAGAAAAAAAAATCGTATATTTCAATTAACTTATTAAATTCATATTAAATCAAATAAATATAGATTTATGTATTAAGAGATAATTTTGTTTAAATTATTTGCTTAGAATACGGTACTGTATGGAAATAAAATATGTAAGATAATTGTTGCACAATGGAAAAAAAAAGTTAAATAATTAATAAAAATATAAGTTCTATATACGTACCGTCCATTTCACAGGATTCACTTTTGGAATTGAATCATCTACCGTGGAAGTAGTTGTTGTTGTTGTTGTCGTTGATAATAATGATTTATCTTCACCATTTTTCTTATTATTTTCTACATCAATAGTTTTAGTTTCAATTTCCATTTCCGTCCATTGTTTTTCCATTATATCTCGTTCACGTGATTCACGCTTTTTACTATAAATTTTGTATAAAAAAATAATTTCAAATCAATTTACAAACTTCACATAGAACACATAATCGTTCATAAAAATAATATATTGTGCTAACCTTTTTGCACAAATTGCAGAACAGAAACGTTTATCCTTTTTAAATTTAATACTTTGTTCATCAATCATGTTACCACAACTTTCACATTTTCCAACTTGAGCATTGTTCCCATCTTCATCTACGTTGTAATTCGGAGCGTGTTTTTTTCCTAGTTTTAAAGTATTAATATGAATTATTATATTACGAGTTAAAAAAAAAAAAAAAAAAAAAAAAAAAAAAATAATTAAATTAGTCATACTTGGCGGTTCTTCGTGATTATCTTTTTCAGAGGAATTGTTACGATTTAAAATATTTGTTGCATCTTGACCCATTGTATTATTTAGGGATGTTCGATTAACTGCAAATGGTTCAGACGCTATAAACAAAAATATATGATTTATTAAATATATATGTGTGTATTTATAAAATATATTTTATGCATATTACATATATATATATATACCTTCCTGTATAACAAATCCTTCAATCACATGTGTAAGGACCTGAGGTTTAACCATTGCCTTAGGAGGTGCATGTTTACTACTTGCTGTGAGAGGAACAGATACAGAAACATTCGTTGATTCTTCATTAGCTGCGCCATTGGTAATAGAATTGACTGTATTAGCGAGTCCAGCTAAAGGATTATTGCATGTCTTCTCATCTGTTTTTGAAGTATTATTTTCCTCTTCTTTTACTTGACCTTTCGAATGATCGTTATCTATATAGAAAAAAAAAAGGAAAAAATTTACGAATATGTATTGTATTTATATTATTTATATATATATATATATATAATCCTATTTGTCAATCACATACCTGATACATCTGGCTGGGAAACCGATATCTCTTCCGAAGTAATTGATACAGTTTCTTCTTTTTTTCCGGATTTAACATTATCATCATTAGCAGTAGGAAGATTTGTCGATGGCAGAATTATTGAACAGTCAGCTTGATGATTACGATCGGGTGATGTTATCATCATTGTAGTGTTATTAGGATCATGAGGTTGTTGTTCAGTCGGTCGATTTACTATTGGTACAGATTGAACTTGCGATGCTCCACTTACTATTTGATTGCCTATTATCGTCGGATTTATAGTCTGAAAAAAGAGGAAAAAAAAAAAACAAATACTTTCAAGAGACGTTGCATGATTTACAATGATATAACTTTTCTTAACTACACAAATACTTTATATAAAGTTTTATCTCTAATACAATATTACAATATATTCGTAGCAGTGGGGTATACATTACATGATAATAGTTTTGTACCGATAATGGAAGCTGTTGTACAGCAGACATAGGAGGTTGCTGTACTTGGTTTATTTGTGATGTAGCAGCAACACCAACTCCTACACTTCCTACTGATACTACAGGCATAATAGGTCTTGGTTCACTACCTAAGACTACCCCAGGTTGCTGCTGTTGTTGTAGGGTCATACCTGCTATATAATAATAAAATGTATGCATTTGATGAATCGTTAAAAAGAATTATTTATATCTCTTACCTACATTTATCATCAAAGAATATTTCTTACCCATTATAGGTTTGGGTTGAATTTGTTGTTGAGATGATTGTACTTGTTGTTGTTGATACTGTTGTTGTAATTGCTGCTGCTGTTGTTGTTGCTGAGGATGTTGCTTTTGTTGAATGAAAACTTGTTGGTGCTGTTGTTGCATTGCCTGTTGTGTTTGTTGTTGTTGTTGTTGCTGTTGCTGTTGTTGCTGCTGCTGCTGTTGTTGTTGTTGTTGCTGCTGCTGCTGTTGCTGTTGTTGTTGTTGAGGCGACTGCATTGGTTTACCACGTCCTTTACTTCCGCTCCCACTCACTTTACCACTCTAGAGAGGAAAGAAAGTGAACAATATATTATATCGGCATTATGAGTTAAAAGATTATATAATGCTGAAGCACAGCTTACAATACATTATGACACATTTACACCACTTAAAAAATTTCTTAAATGATGTAAATGTTAATCATAGTAACCTGTGCGTGTACCGTGACTTGTACTTCATGAACAGTTTGTGTAGAAACAGAACTTGCAGCTCGTATATTGACAGTTTGCAGCGAGGATGGTAAAATGCTAAGTGGCCGCTGTCCGCCTGTGCTCTGCTTGCTTTTCATCGCCTGATATTGTTGTATGTCCATTACTTTCGCTTTCCCACTAGCGGCGGCAATTTGCTGTACTCCTTGAATCTGTTGTTGGGTGGCTAACGCTATAACAAATATATTTTTACAATTAAAAAACATTATTGCAAAAAAAAAAAATATATATATATATAAATAATGAAAATTGCGACGTACTAACCATTATGTGCTTGGATGGGCTGTGGACTTTGAATGAACATATCAGGTTGTGTAGGACTTCGAATAAATATTTGGTTTGGAGCAGCAGTAAGAACAGCTGGCGGTTGTAATCCAGTCCAGACTTGAGGTGCAAACTGCCATAGTGCAAATTGCATTCCCGGTCCTCTTGCACCGGATGGAGTACCCGCTGTACATGTGGTATACTACAATAGAATTAATACATTATCAATATGATTTTCGTACAGCAATAATTATAGGTATATATAAAAATAATAAATAACCTTTTGTACTTGATCTTGCTTATTTGCTGATTGTTGCTGCTGTTGTTGTTGTAACGATGGCGGAGGCTGTGGTGAACCTAAAACGCCAAGCTGCCCAAAAACCAATGCCTGCCCTGCATCAGGAGTAGCAGAAGTGGGTACGGGTAAATAACTTGTTGGAAATCCTTGTACTTTAGTCCCTCCTGCACCAGGATGACCTGTACCTTGGTCAGGTGTTGATGCTGTAGTTAACATATGAGGTGTCAATTGAGCTGCAGACTGAAAAGGCTTACCAGCTGTTGTAACCTGCAAAGTGTTCTATGGATATTTTTTCCTTATAAATACGCCAAATATAAAATTATATAAATTAATTATTAAATTTACTTAAAATTCATTTATACCTGAATCGAAGATGGATTTATTCCAGCAGGATGAAGAGCCAAATTTCCAGGCATCAATAACGGAGCTTGAGTATTATAAAGTTGTTGCAAATGATATGCTTGACTTTGTATTGGTTGTTGAATAACTTGAACTGCCTGGGGATGCGCAGCCATTGTAGTTATGGTTGTTGCACCTTGTTGACCAGACAATGCCATAGATACACCACCAACACCTTGCTGCTGATGATGCATTGATACGGCAACTGCTCCTTGTAACTGATACAAGTACACAATTAATATATTTTTTATTTAAAATATTATAAAAGTATAGGAATCTCATTGTGTATTAATATCGTCTATACCTGTTGTTGGGGCATACTTGCTGCTACCTGTGGTTGTACTTGTACTTGTGTAGGTACCACATTATGTGGCCCATTACTTTGTTGTTGTTGCGGTTGCTGCTGCTGCTGCTGCTGTTGTTGCTGTTGCTGCTGCTGTTGTTGCTGCTGTACTTGCTGCTGTACTTGTTGCTGCACTTGCTGTTGTACTTGCATTTGTTGTTGGGGTTGAACTTGCTGCTGAATCTGTTGTTGCGCCTGCACTTGGGGTTGAATTTGTTGTTGTTGTGGTTGCACCTGCTGCTGAACTTGTTGTTGCTGCACTTGTTGTTGCTGTTGTTGAACATGCTGTTGTTGCTGCTGAACGTTTTGCTGTTGTTGAAGCTCATGAGTTGCAGTCATCATTTGATATTACTGGAGATATAGTTATTGGCCCAGGGATCGTCAGTGCTGAGGCTGTGACAACTGTTTCACATTTATATTATAACATAAACATGGAATTGCTTAATTTATTATTTTATTTTACTTTTTTAAATAATATAATATTCTTTAAATTTATACTCTATTCAGAATTTTCATTTATTTTTAATTTCATTATAAATGTACAGTTATTGTTTTTGTTTCCATTTATATTTTATCCAAAAGATCACATGACCTTTTGACATAAATTGTTTCTTTTATTTTAAATTATGATTTATCATTGAATTTGACAAATATCTCTTATTGTGCAATGCATATATATATATATATATGTATACACACACACACACACACACACGTACGCACGCACGCACGCACACACATAACCTCACACAAATGACTTCAAGATATAACATCAACTTTAAGCATGATCAGTGTTATATGGAGCTTGATTAATATATGTACACGTTTGAAAAAACAGTGAAAGAATTAAAAAGTAAAAAACTCTTCAATTTCTTCTAAAACAGGTCAGTGATAATTTTAGTTTATCATTGTTAACATATTGTTACAGAATAATTGTTCTATATAAAAATATAGAGTAAATCCATAAAATGAATATATAAGATCAATATCATTTTGTGTTCTCAAACAAATACATATATTAATTCACTTTACAATATATTTAATTTTCATGCATAGAAATTGATGATAACAAAACATATCGTATTATTTAACTTTTCGAAAATGCTTGAATTTATTTGCATGTTTGGTTATGATATTATTTTAAAATAGTTTAATTTCAAGAAGAACAAAAAAAACAAGTGTTAATGAAAATCAAGTTTAGCAATTTTTTGACAATCATTTCTAAATATAATGTGAATCAATATGATTATTTTGTTGCTTCGACTTTAAGTGCGAGTATACTACATTATCATTGTTAAACCTTCATCTTCAATATTTCATATATATTATAATTTGGGTATCAGAGATAATAGAATACTTTTCAAATAAAAATCATTAAAATGCATTTATTTCAACATTATATTATTGATAACATAAGAATATAACAGTGATAACAGAAAAATGTGAAAATCTAATTTATTAAATACATTTTGTAAAGAAATGAGAGAGAATGAGAGAGAGAGAGAGAGAGAGAGAGAGAGAGAGAGAGAGAGAGAGAGAGAGAGAGAGAGAGAGAGAGAGAGAGAGAGAGAGAGAGAGAGAAAGAGAAAGAGAGAGAAAGAGAAAGAGAGGAAAAAGAAAGTAAGAAATACAGAGAGAGAGAGAGAGAGAGAGAGAGAGAGAGAAAGAGAGAGAAAGAGAAAGAAAGAGAGAAGAACAGTAATATAAAAGAAATTCTTTAATTCGTTATCAAAATCATAAGAAAATAAATAATTATTTGAACTATTTATAAAGTTAACCTCTACATTGAATAATGATTGAATGAATCGTTGAAAAAGAAAAAAGATATATATTCTAACAATAATTTCATCACGATTGCATGAATATCGAAGCATTATTTAACCAATCAAGATCAAATAATTAGTAATGTATGATGTGTGAATGTGTATATATATATATATATATATTGCAACACTATAAATCGCTCGTCATCGAATGAAGAACGATCATTGGTCGAATTTAAATTTATACCCTATCTAACCAAGGCAATAACTTCCGCGGTTTATTAAGTGAAATATATTTTTTATAGAAACCGATAGGAAATTTTGGAATTGTATTAATCTAAATATATACGTTCAATATTACCAAATAAATACAACGAAATATTTTTAAGAAGAATTCGAATTATTACCAATCTATATATTTACTCGAAGTTACTCGTATTATCGTGTGGGATTTGCAAGGCGCTATTCGTAGCGAAACACGATACCACTACACAACCAGTAGGACCAATAGAAGAAGACCGTGAAGAACGTAGAAGTTAATTCACTTGTTTCGAACGGTAAAGAAGGTATCTACCTATAATATATGAAGAAAGCTATATCGATCCAATGAAAATGCACGCGATCCATCTTAGCAACTTTGAGAGATACTCGGGAACAAAATGTCGTCCGTCCGAATGACCACCATAATTAGTCTCACTGAGGAAAAAAGGGTAGGTTGGTACGAAGTGAGGAAGGGGGAAAAGAGATAGAGAAAGGGAGAGAAAGGGAAGGGGAAAGAGAATGCATATATAGAAAGAGAAACAGAGAAAGGTAGAGAAGAAGGGAAAAGGAGAGAGAAAGAGAGAGAGAGACGCAAGACGAGAAGATTGAGCGGGAAACACGATTGAAAGGCGTGGAGAAAGGGGGAGGGAGCGAAGCAGAGAGCGTGGGATTAGACGGAAATGGTGGAGCGAGAGAGAGAACGGTAAGAGGATAGAGGGACGAGGAGAAGTAAAAGTTAGGGAAGGGGAGAAGCGAGATGCCGAAGCCTCCAGGGGGCGGCCAAACGCACGCAACATGGATCTCGCCATAATGCCAATAACGGCGCGACGACGATAATAATGATAATAACACACAGCAGCACGCGGTTCTCAGTGAGCCAGCGAGCCAGAGTTATAATATCCACGATGCTTTGAATCGTAAATCGTTCTGTTTTTATACACGTTAGAATCTCCTTAACGATAATAATTACATTCGTTTAAAAAAGAAAGGACAACAGCGTCCCTTTGGCGGCAGACATATTGGATTATAGAAAAAAAAAAAAATAAAAAAATAAAAAAAAAATAAAGAAAAAAAACAACAAAAAAAAATAGCGTGTATTCGAAGAACGGGCGGGACGCGGCGAAGAGGTTGAGAGTTCTTAACCGGCGCGACGATCGTTCGTGTAAAGTTGTGTCCGAGTTAGTAAGCGCGACGAAACGAGAGAAAGAAATAGAAAGAAAGAAAGAAAAAAAAATAAAGAAAGAGAAAGAAGGGAAAGAAAGGTGTTCGAAAACGCAACGATAAAAGACTCGAGAAGCAGGCAACGACCATGGGATTTGTAGGAGAAATACTCGTCGTTCAGGTACTCACATAGCGACTGCGCAGTCACACCTATGCACGTTTCCGAACACACAGCAACGAAGGCAAAACCGCCACCACCGTTGTCGTCGTCTTCGTTGTCGTCGTGTTGTCGTCGTCGTCGTCGTCGTCGTCGTCGTTGTCGTCGTTGTCGTTGTCGTTGTTGCCGTTGCCACTACCACCACCCACCACCACCACCACCACCGCCACCACCACCACCACCACCAACACCACCGCCGCCACCACCGCCGCCGCCACCACCACCACCTCACCGCCGTCTCGTAGACGACGATTTTATCACAATTTTGACACGTTAGTTCGGCCGAACGATGAAAAACCCACCGACGTATTTCAATCCTTTATGAAAGAACGTATCTTGATGTTTTAAACGGCGTCGCGTAGCGCGTTGACGTCGCGAGGTTTCGTAAGCATCAGTCGTCGCATTCGTTGTCTGCTGTTTCCCTGCTCCCGCACGGCGCACGGTGTTCTATTCCCTCTCTTTCTCTTTCTCTCTTTCCTTCTATCTCTTTCTCTCTCTCTCCCTTGCCCTCCCGCCCTCCCTCTCTTTACCTCCCCTTCCCTTCCTTTCTCTTCTCTTCCCCCGCGAACTTACCCACCATCCTCAAGGATCGTCCCCTTCCAACCGATTCTCTTACCCCCACTAACAAGAAAGCGTTCCTTTCCCTGACGTCTCTTAACCCCTCGTCGTGGCAACCTATTCTCTCATTGGTCGGCGGAGGACAAATCCCAAAGGCATCGGTTCGCGTCGAAAAGGCGGGGCTATTGGACACCGTGGTTATGGGCGCATGCTTCGTAACGGTACTCACACTCGCCCGAAGCCACTCGATTTTGAGAGCACTAACACCAATAAACTGGACGTTTTATATGTACACGAGATTATAGTCCACCGAAGATTTTGTAGCATAGTCGCGTGATACTGCCAGGGACGTTGCAACAAACGAATATGCCCTGTCCCTTTCCTTTCATATATTTTCATTTTATTCAATATTAAAGGAATAGAAACTATTCGATTATTTTGAGATTTTTTCTTTTTTTTTTCCTCAAATACTTTTATAATAATAAAAGAATTGAATTGAAATTTAATCATTCGTATTCATAACAAATATTAATATAATACTCACTTCGCTCTACGCTGTTCATCACCAAAAATTTTTTCATAATGTTAGTATAATACAGATTAGAAGTCGTCTATACATATCGAAGCCATTTTTTTTTCTTTTCAACACAACTATTCGTTTGTTGTGTGTGTTTTTTTCCTCATCTCATTAGAAATCTCATTATAGCTTTCTTAAGAGATTCAACTTTTTTCTTCGTATCTATATTTTACTTTTATTTTTTTTTCTTGTAACTATACTAACTTTCGTTATTCATCGTATATATACATGAAAAGTACGTACATACGTAACGCTTGTCGCGTTGTTATTTTTTCATGAGATTGAAAGAATTGAAGATATATATATATATATATTTATATATATATATATATATATATTTTTTTTTTTTTTTTGTAAAATATTTACTTTTTTATACCTAACCTATAAATGTACTTCAATAGCGAAATAAATTCGTAACGAAAACAAAACGTATATTATTTCATGTTTACATACTCTAATCTTATTAATTCATTAACAATATCTTTCTTTCTCTCTTTCTCACTCTCCTCTTTTTCTCTCTCTCTCTCTCTTTCTCTTTCTCTCTCTCTCTCTCTCTCTCTCTCTCTCTCTCTCTCTCTCTCTCTCTCTCTCTCTCTCTCTCTCTCTCTCTCTTTAATTGGATTGAAGATATCATAATAAGTATATTTCAGAAATGGAATTTACGTGATTTTTATTCCATTCACCTGCTGCATTATAGTATAGTTTTAGAACGAGTTATTCTAATTTGTGGTTTTTTTTATTTTTTTTATTTTTTTTTTTTTTTTTTTTTTTAACTATTATTATTATTTGCCAACAAGTTCATTAATTTCACAGATTGATTCGATAAAAATCCTAACAAATAAAAATATTATACCACCAAGTTTTATTCGTATTATATTTAGAAGAAAAAAAAAAGTAAATACAAATGGAGACATTTTATATTTCTAATCGGAAAAATCCAATTATTTTTAATTCTAATCTACATATATCGATTATGTCTTTTATACTGTTACATCCTGTTAGATCAAGTCAATTTTTATAAAATTTTGAACGATAAAGTATATACGAAGAAAAATTTTCGACATTAAAGATTAGATTTGTTAAATTGTGTATTTTTTAAATGATTTAATGGATAAATTAAAAATCAAGATAAATGTTGTGATGGAGAACTAAAGGAACAAGGATAAATCGTATAGCGAAGGATTTCGAGCTGGTTTTTTAAGGACTTGCTACGGCCCTGACACAGCTGTCTAAGTCGAGTTTATACTTCCCTACTCGAAACCCCGTAGAGTCGAGGTGCGCTCGATTGGTCCGCCTCTGTTCAACAGAAAATTCTTGCCCAATCGGCATGGATTAAATGCAACAGTCGATTTTTTTTTTTTAATTATTTATTATTATCAATTCACTTACAGAAATGAATATAAGATGCGATTAAAAGTATTATAATGACATTATAAGAATTAATGGAAAATCTAATAGTATATCGATATGATCGATCGATGCCTCGTTTATTCGTACCCGAAATCCTTTTATGGTCGGTACTCACCTGACAACGATCCTACGAGAGTGGGATATAAAATTCTCTTTCTAGGATCCTAAAATTCGTTTGGGTAAAAAAATGTTTGTAATATTAATGTCATGTATATAAGTAAATATACAAAAGAAATATATGAAACACTTGAGTACGTATATATATTTTCATGTTTTTTAAATATTATCTCTCTCTCTCTCTTTCTCTCTGTCTCTCTCTCTCTATCTTCATACATAACATACAAATCCTTTTTTCATTCTATTCCATTTGCCTTTTTTTTTTTTTTATTTTATATGTATACATATATTTTTCTTATTTTTCTTTGTTCCTGTGAAAAAAAAGAAAAAAGGAAAAAAAGAAGAACAAAAACAAACATACACGACGTGATTTCTATTAATAGTTCATTATCACGAGGATCATTGTGATCGAAAGGAATGATACAAAATCGTGATATATTGGTAAAATAGTTCTCGTAAAGAGATCATAATAATAATCTAAAATGGGGGAAGAAGAAAAAAAATGCGAAGAAATACGAATCGATTTATTGTTCATCTTTTCCCGATACCGGTCTCGGATTTCGACGCAAGGCTCGACGCATCGCTGCGGAGGGTAGGAAGAAGTCGCGGTCGCGCCAATCCCGCTTTTACGACCACGCTTTCATCGTAGAAACGGTTTTATCATAGTGTGCGTTCTTATACGTGAACTGTGTGCACTCGCATCGTTCCTTCGTTTGTATAGGTGCGACGAGACGCTATAGTCTCGCTTACGATATAGAGGTTAGGAATATAACGATATCGTGTACATCCGAACGAACCCGAGTCCTACCGTCGTAGTTTCCCATTCCACCGATAGAGCGTACGGTAAGAAAAGTAGGGGAAATGCCGTGGCCAATGGTTCGGTTCGAACAACGTTGCCAGGGAAACAAGTTAATGATTCGACCCGCCACCGAGGAATTGGCTCGAGAGCCAAGTACTTACTGCGCATGCGTTACTCCCTGGAAACGGTGCGCTATATCTTCTCGTATTCGCGAATATAACTCTTGTTCATCGTCGTTCACTTTGTGTGAGTGTATGTTGTTTCTACGCTACATACTTGCTCATGACATATATATATATATATGTGTTTGTAATGTTGTGTGTGAGTAGGTACACACAAGCGCGAAAAATCTCCCCTTGCCTGTATACATGTCCCTCTCTTTTCTGATATTGTGTGTGAATGTACGTTCCGCTCGATTACTTATACATAGAAAGAGAGAATATATCTCTCGAATATCAAGTAACTCTATGTGTTAGTAAGGTAAAACGAATCCCTACAGGATCGCACGTTCCTTTCGCCTGCATACCAATACGGTGTGTCGCCGCGACGATTGGTCTCCCTCTTGCTCCGTTTTCTTCTTCGTTCTACGTATAAGGCTTTCTCTCTCTCTCCCTTTCTTTCTCTCTCCTTCTCTTCCCCCTCTCCCTTTCTCTGAAGCATATTTTCTTTCCTCCTCACGCATCTGTCCAACCTTGTGTATATGTATATATATATATATATATATATATATATATATATACATTTATATATATATGTATATCCTTCTCTCGTTCTCTTTCTCTTTCTCTATCTATCTATCTTTCTATCTTTCTATCCATCTATCTATCTATCTATCTATCTATCTATCTATCTATCTATCTATCTATCTATCTATCTATCTTTCTCTTTCTCACTCAACATCTTTCCATTCTTATATTTTCTCCTTTACTCTTTCTCCTCGTCCCAAGTAACTCTACCATCGCTTTTCTGATCGTACACTAGTACGTACGTTATTAAATAACTCTGAATATCGGTATGTGCGGCCGGCGCGTGTACATAGAATAACCGCACACATTGACGCGTGAGCACATACACCTATGCATAAGTAAATACATAGGGAGTCACACATACAAAGAACGAGGCGTTACGACGATTGGCTCCCTTCCCACTTCGTCCACCACTCGATCGGCCTCTCTCCTTCGCGCACGGCTGCCGTCCATCCATCTCTCTCGGTTTCCCTCCATTGCCCCCTTTCTCTCTCTGTCTCTTTCTCTCTTTCTCCTTTCGTAACATTTCCTCCCTCCTTGTACTGACCTTATTTTCCCCACCGCTCGGAGATCGTAACACTGACGCGGCGTATCGCTTGAGACCCTATGCGCTTCTGCGTTCGAGGGGTGGGGGAGGAGGTGGAGATGTAGATTATAATATCCGATGTCCGTCGATCGGGCCGCGAATTAACGACTAGAAAATGGAAGCAACTCGTCGAGAAGGAGTAGGAGGAGGAGGAGGAGGAGAAGGAGGAGGTGGAGGTGGTAGTGGCGGAGGAGGTGGAGAAGGAGGAAGACAGCAAGGATGATGATGAGGAGGTGGTGGAGCCAGAGGGGAGGGGTACACATAATTGAGCTCGAGCAGCTGTTGCTACTCTCTTGCACTTGTATACGCCTTTTGTGCTTTAATAGATAAGGATAAGAATGTCATGATACATCGAAGGATTTTTTATTTTTCTTTTTTTTTATCGTTTGCTCTATCGACCCTGACATTTTTTTATTCCTATCCTTTTCTTCTTTTTTACTGTTATGTTATGCATCTATTTCTTTCTCTCTTTCTCTCTCTCTCTCTCTCTCTCTCTCTCTCTCTTTCTCTCTCTTTTTTTTTCTCTCAAGTTGCAACGAGAGACGAGTAGTTTAATTGTAAAGAAAGAAATATATCTATATCGAGCTAGGTGCCGTTATCGTAGCCATTTTGTTTTTCTTCGTAGACTCAATCGAAACGTGGAAAAGGATAGCAGGATCATGAGAACTCCTATCAATTGGCGCCAATATTCTAATCGATTTTTAAATGCACTAATCAATTTGTTTTTTCATAGAATTTAATCGATATGTTAAATACGTTACATCGATAGCTTATTATTTCTCTTATAAAGATTGTAATAAATGATAAATCAATTTGTCGTGATAGGAGGATTAGATTATATTTCCGTTATGCGTATTTTTAACGATATAATAATGAAACATTTTGATATATCTAATTAATGAAACGTGTACGAGATAAACTAATTACATACATATAATATATATATATATATATATATATATATATATATTTACACGAAGTCAGTCGATGTAATATGATCGGTTGAGAAATAATATACGTTATACTCGATGATATTTTAATGACTATTAATGATATTCATTTATTTAGATTAGACATCAATTCTACGATATAGTAATCAATATCGTAGCTTAATAAAAATATTATTCCAATATTTATATGTTTCACTATATCGCTTCCATATTACTATATATATATTCGTATAAAGTTTGATAGAACGTTCAAATACATTTGGATCACGAAAAGAGAATTTTTACTTTAGTACAAATATAAAGTATCATTCAGAAAATCAAATATTTTCACATTATGTGTGTGTGTGTGTGTGTAAATATATAGAAAACGTAATATTGCATTTTTATCGTTCAGTTTTATCTCTCGCGTGTATGTAAATCTCTCGGAAAAGAGTATGTAGTTCGAACGGTGTTAAAATCAAAGCGCATATTTCCCTTTAAAGTTTGCGCGGGTTTGTTTTTTTTATTTATGATTTTTTTTTTCTTTTTATCTTATTTTTCCTTTTTTTGTATACTTTTATTGGACCTATGCGCTTTCCATTTTCAAATTGCCAGAGAAATAGTAATATACTCTATATATTAAGAGAATAGATATGATCGATAAAAGTCGAGGAAATGAATTTGTTGAATTGGTAATAAAGGAGAAAAGAAAAAAAAAAAAAGAAAACAGAAAAAAGTAAAGAATTCTTGATTTTACAGAAAATGGAAATGCGAAGATTATTGCGAAAATGCATGTCGGTAGGGACGTTGAACGTTTATCAAGGATATGGGAATCGAATTTTACGTTATTATTCGACAAAAACGAAGCCAGAATTAACATCGATAAGATACAAGATTAAACGTGGTCCATATTCCAAGTTAACCGACGAACATGTTAATTTTTTCGAAAGATTGCTCGATCGAAATCGTGTAATCACTGATCCCGATGAATGCGATGGTTACAATATTGATTTTGCAAATACCGTCCGAGGTATGTATCATAGATCAAAGTATGTAAATAAATCGAGTTAATTTAATTGTTGATAGATATTTTAAATCCCATCCCCATTGAAATAATTTAATTGACTGTTCATTCAATTAAATTGAAAACTAGCCTTTACATTCTTATTTTTATTTCTTCTACTACACATTCTAATTATACATATTTCCGTAAAATTGGAATACGTAAATATCTATCGGAAAGCGAGTTAATTAAGAGAGTTAATTATTAAATTTCAGGCGAAAGTAGACTCGTTCTAAAGCCAAAAATAACCGAGGAAGTGTCGGCGATATTAAGATATTGCAATGAAAATTGTTTAGCCGTTTGTCCACAAAGTGGTAACACCGGTTTAGTGGGTGGAAGTACACCGGTATTCGATGAGGTCGTACTATCAATGAAACTTATGAATAAAATCATCGAAACGAATGAAATAGCAGGTCGGTAAGGAAGGGAATAAAACAATAATCATTTTAAATGGATTAGAATTTTCATGAATGTTTCAACGTGTGGGATTTATTTATTTTACTCTTTTTTTTTGTTATTATTATTTAATCTTTTTTTTTTTATTTTTCTTTTTTCATCACGATCACTCTCAGGTGTGATTACTTGCGAAGCCGGTTGCGTTTTAGAGGATTTGGATAATCATTTGTCTACTTTTGGTCTTATGATGCCTTTGGATCTCGGTGCGAAGGGTAGTTGTTTGATAGGAGGCAACGTATCAACAAATGCTGGTGGTCTTAGACTCCTTCGTTATGGCAATTTACATGGAAATATTCTCGGAATCGAAGCAGTAAGTCCGCGAAAAAGATCTATCTGTTTTTCTCATTGAAAAATACAAGATATATCTATCGATACCCATCTATCGAAAAGTCACGTTTACGTTTCAGGTAAAGGCCAATGGCGATATCATAAACAGTTTGAATGGCCTAAAGAAAAATAATACTGGTTTTCATTTGAAGCACTTATTTATAGGTTCGGAAGGAACTTTAGGTATTGTTACAAAGGTTGCTATACAATGCCCACCTCTTCCAAAAGCTATAAATGTCGCATTTCTTGGTAAGTTGTTTATCTAACAATTTTTAATAGAAATAATTTAATAGAAAGATAATTTTTGCTCCATGGTAAAAATTATGCCAATAGGATTAATCAATGTTATCTTAGTTCCTTTTTTCCCTCTTCCCCTCCCCTCGTGATTTTAATATTCATCGATGGATTCAAAAGATTTGATTTCAACTGAACATTAAATGTTACCTAAGACCTTATTACCACGTTTGAATTTTCTGAGTGGATCAAGGTTGTTAAAAATATCAAACATTTCTAAAACGAATTATACGTTCCAGCGCGACTTTCATGAATCTTTATATAAACGTTCTAGGTACGTGCGAAAGGTCAAGTGATCTTCGAATTAACGTCGTTACGATAAAATAGGACAGCTAAAATTAATTCGAGCGACGACATTGCAAATTTAATTCGTTATTCGAACTTTGTTTAATATCAAATCAAGTCAACCATGTGTTCTCTCTATTTTCTTCTTTTTATTTATTTATTTAAAATATTATTTTCTCTTATTTCTTCTCTTTTTTCTTTTTTCTCTTTTTTTTCTTTTTTCTTTTTTTTTTTTATTTTCTCAGGATTGAACAGTTTCGACAACGTATTGAAAATTTATCATCTCGCCAAGAAAGAATTGGGTGAAATTTTATCATCATGCGAAATGATGGATAAATTGTCGATCGATGTTTCGACACAACTTTTGGGACTTCAAAATCCATTGGCGACCGATGGCTGTGATCATGATTTTTATGTATTGTTAGAAACTTCCGGTAGCCATATGGCTCACGACGAAGAGAAACTCAATGCGTTTGTCGAAAAAGTTCTTAATGATAATATTGTACAAGATGGTACTCTTACTTCGGACACGGCGAAAATGAAGGTGAGATTGATAATGCTCTATATTGATAATATTTTTAATATTTTACTAAATCAAAGAGAGAGAGAGAGAGAGAAAGAAAATATTTGTTGAAGTTGTTGATTAGTTATCAGTCATTTTAAATATTGTAACTACATATATACTTCCTGACATCGTTAACAGATACTATGAGGTTTATAAACTTTGATATCTGATAACAGCTTTGTTTTTTATACTGTACAGGTGTATACAGTCACATGACAAAGTATGATCGATTTTTTACAATTTTTCTTTTTCTTTTTATAGAATATATGGGCTCTAAGAGAAAGAATTAGCGAAGGTGTTTTACGTGAGGGTTATGTCTTCAAGTACGACGTTTCTTTACCTCTTCCATATTTTTATAAAGTTGTTGAAGTTTTAAGAGAACGTTTACGTGATCCACGTATTATTAGAATCAGTGGTTATGGACATATAGGTATGATATCTATATGTGATTAATAATAATAATAATAATAATATTAACAAGAAAAATAATAATAATAATAATAATAATAAAAATAATAATAATAATAATAATAAAAATAATAATAATAATAATAATATTAACAAGAAAAATAATCGTATTTACGTTTAATTTATCCAATCTTATTAATTTTATCATTATGCTTTTTTTCTTATTCCTTTATTTATTTATTTCTTTTTTCTTTTTTTTTTTTTTGGTCTTTTTTTAGGTGATGGTAATATTCATATACAAGTGTCAATTCCAACGTACCACGAAGACATAGCATCGCAATTAGAACCATTTATTTTTGAATACATTTCTAGTCTTTCTGGTAGCGTTAGCGCAGAACATGGTATAGGATTCAAAAAAACTAAATATCTTCATCTTAGTAGAACTCAATCGGAAATTGAATTGATGAAACATCTTAAGTTAACTATGGATCCTAAAGGAATACTTAATCCATATAAAGTATTATATCCTATTAATATATCTGAGTGATTTATTCAGAAAAAAAAGAAAAAGAAAGTATAAGAAAATATGATCAAACAGAGAATTTTATTTTCAATAGATTTTTATCTAAGATTTTGTAGATATATATATATAATCTTTTATCTTGTATATTTGTGTTAAGAGATATTGATACAACTACCTCGTATATAATATCTATTAGAAAACGTAGAAGATTTTGCCATAATACGAAATGTGCCATATATTTACGTTTCATTTTACAATATTCTAATATCTTAATGAAATTGTATAAACTATTGTTCGATAGATTCAAAGATTTATCTCAGGTAGAAATATATATATATATATATATATATGTATATTTAGAAATTTATTCACGTATACAATAGATTTTCTTAGCTTGTTATACCAATATTAGGAGTTTAGAAATATGGTCACATTCCATAATACAGAAACTCTTGAATATATTTTTTGTTTGTTATTAAAAAAAAAAGTGCATGTAAAAAAAATTATAGATCCAGAATGTTCTAGAAAAAAAAAATATATATATATTTTCTTATTCCGTGGGAAGTATGATAAAAGTATAATAAAATTTTATCGAGTATCTGAAAAAAATTATGATAAATCGATGTATAATTATAATAATAATAAAAAATATTAACAATAATAATTTTTTTTATTGGTTTTACATATTGAAAAAAAAAGAAGAGAAGATAAAATTTCGATCAAATTTTCCCTCGTTATGTATTCGGTGATCGTCGAGAATCTTCGTTAAAGTTCGTACAATACGCTAGTTCTATACTCGAGATGGCGTTTTGAGCGCATACGCGTAGAGATTTGTTTTAATTCGAGCGTGTATTTTTGGACGCCAGCCAAGCTCAAAGTTTTCCTCGATGACTGTTTTGATTCCATTGCAATGAAAATAACGACAGTACTAAAAGCAAAAAAGAATGACGTTAACGTTCCAATATTATGTTTCAACTGTGACTCAAATGCCATACCGATCGTTTGTTATATGATAGAAATCTCCCGAAGTTAACCTTAGATTTGGTTATATCTATTTGTATATGTCAAAATATTTTTACGTTTGTCAATTAGATAAGGATTCATATCACATTGATTATTACAAATTTGGTAAATCTCTTGGTTGTAAGAAAAGGTGCGGCCAAGGTTGACACTTCGAAATACTACTTGCATACATTAGATTTGTAAAACGAGTTTCCTTATAACTCGTTTCCAGAAGATTCGTTTGCATGATTATTTATAATTGGCCTTTTTTTTTATATCTGTATCGTATAATTCAAATTTCCTGTGATATTTTCTCTCTTTTTTTTTTGTTTTTTAATAAAGCATACGTATATTTTAACATACTGATTCTAATAAAAAAAAATTTTATATAGCATTTATGAACAGTGGTAATTAGACAGGAGAAAAATTATATATATATATATGTATGTATATATATATATCTATATATATATGTATGTATGTATATACATTAGCTTATAATTGATCGTGATTGGTTTGTTTTCTAATCCATATAAATAGATCAATGAATATGCATGATTGCTTGATGCACAATTATCATCATGTGTATCTAACTTCACGTTGGTCTTATCCAGAAATGGTCGGCGAATAATAACAATTATGGATTTTTATTTTGAATTTCAAATGAATAGATTCTTTTTGTAATAATAATTGAAACGCATTTTACGATATTTTGTTCTATCTTATATGGATCTGTTGGAATGTTCTGGAAAAAATTATTATCGTTATACGTGTATAATTAGAATGATCTGAAATATAAACACAAGAGTAATAATTTATTATTAAATAAAATCTTGTAATTTTATTGAAATATATTTATAATTAAATTCAAAAGTATCAAAAAGAAAACAAAAAAAAAAGTAATAAAAAAATGAACAAATCAATGACATTGTCAATTACTTATTATTACTAATGTTATACAATTAAAAATTATTAGATAGTGCAAAAATAATTTAACGTGAAAATATAGAAAGTAAATATCGTTGTATCGAGCCAAAATTTCTTCTACGTGAATAAATTGGTATGAAACGAAAGAATGAGATACATGTATTTGTCACTATGCATTTCACAAAAGTACGCATAGAATAATACAAATATATATCATGTGACAAATGAGTGAGGGAAATCTAAAGATGTGACAAATGCGAGTTGTGACCGATAGATGGAGGAACGGAGGAATCGTGCCAGGGACGAAACTAATATTGCTTCCTACCTCTGTGTTTCATTATCGCGTATAAGTGTTATACCTCTCTTTTTCTTTTTTTATAAATTTTTTATTAAACTTTTTTTTTTACCTACGAACTACTTCCCCGATGCATCTCATTATCCACGAAGATTACAGGTTTATTTGTGTCTCAATGTATTATACGATCTTATTAATAACATTGAAAATATTAGAAATTGATACAAACGTATGAGATTAATGACAATTGAAAATTTTTTATAATTTTAATAGAAATTTATCAATGATAGCGTAGTAATAGTTTGAAAATCGTGATTAAAGGAGAAATTTTTAGACGAACGTACAAAAAAGAAAAAGAAAAAAAAGCTACAGTGACAATTCGAAAATAATAATTAAAGTAATATTATGCGAATCGATTGATATTTAAATTGTGTAACGAAGTTAATCGACGATACGAGTGAAACGATAAAAAAAAAAGATTATATTCCGTGATATATTTAGTGAAAACATTTAGGAAAAAAATTTTTCTTCATTCACAAGAAAATAAATCGCATACACTTATTTACGTGATTATTCAGGGGTGATTAATTTAGTTAAGCCGTCATTGGGGAAGTTTGTTTGAGAATGATATACTATATAGATTCGCGCATGTGCCCTTCTAGAAATCTCTCGAAAAGACCGCCATGACAAATATAAAACGGGCGGCGAAATTAGTCGCAGTTAGTTTAAGTTCGAAAAGCGATCAGTCGACTTCAAGATAAAAGAAGAGTGACATTAACGATAAAAATAAATTTCTTTTTTTTAACGATCGAAATAAATTAAACGAAATATATACGAGTGTACGTTCAAGTTAACACCTTGAATATTGACAAATTACGATTCTATACGGTTAAAAAAGGTACGTCTCTTACGATTTGATAAAATTTCTCTTTAGAGTATTTGCGATATCGCTCGTTTATTGGCCAACGTTCCTTGCGACTGACTTGCGTCGACCAATCAGCTGTTTTATTTCGTTTGAAAGATCATTGCGATTCGTTTTTTGTTTCTTTCGTCGATTAAAAAACAATTACATTCGAGAATTAATAAGAAATGAAGGATTAAGAAATAAAGTTTTCTTTTTTCTTTTTTTCTATACGTAAATATTCATTTCAAATGGGAGAAATTTTGCAAAACTCAATAAACATCGTAGTTACGTTATTATAACATCGCAATACATTTATAAAATATAAGTGATGTTTGTAAATATGAAATCATAATATTTGTCAATTTGATTGAATATCGTATAACTAAATTGATATTGAAATAGTTTTGTTTTTCTTTTTCTACTTTGCGTTCTTCTTTTTTCAAAGATCTCCCATCTTTTATTTTTAATAATTATTAAAAAAAATAAAATTCCTTATATATATATATATATATATATTATAATATATACATATATATATATAGATATAGATATATACGATTCAAATATTATTCTATCGATGATACGAATAACAATTAAAGTAATATTAATTTTGATATTTTGTTGATGTCTGACAGAAACCGTAAAAAATTCAAATAAGAAAAAGAAAAAAAGAACGAAGAAAAGAAAAGAAAAGAAATTCGAAAATAAAATGGCATTAGTACCGAGCAGTTTGTTCCGTAATTGGTGGGATGAAATGGACCGTTTTCATCGTGAATTGGAACAACATTTTCAACGTTTATCAACGACAAACGATTTCCCTCGTCCGCCAGCATTGCCATCATTTAAAGAATTTTTCCATCCTTGGCGCGAAGTATTCCAGGAATTAGAAGAACAAGTAGGAGGCTCGACAAAGATTGAAAAGGGCCAAGATAAATACAGAGTGATCGTCGACGTGCAACAATTTGCACCCGAAGAAATAACTGTTAGAACGGATGACAAATGTATTACAATTGAGGGTAAACATGAGGAGAAGAAAGATCAACATGGTTATATCTCACGACATTTCGTACGACGATATCAATTACCTCAAGGTTACGATATCGGCCATGTTAAACCAAGCTTATCGTCCGATGGCATTCTAACTGTCACTGCACCAAGACTTGTTTTGCCTGCACCTGGCGAAAGAATTGTTCCGATTGAACGTCAAAACAGACCGGCCATTAAGGCTGCCTAAAGAGAGAAAAAAAAAGAAAAGAAAGTGACAAAAAAAAAAACAATCGTTCAAAAAAAAATTCGCGGGTATATTTGAAATCTTCGCTTTCTTTCTATCTTTCTATCCATTTCCCCCTCTCTCTCTCTGCCTCTTCCTGTAGCCGATATTCTAATATATTATATTAGCTTTAATGGCTTTGTAATTTAGTCATATTATATATATATATATCTCTGTCTAAATTATTGCTTGTTATACAAGAGTATCATAACATAAATAATATTTGTAGTATTCTAATTATTGCGCAGAATTGTGTTAATAATATTCTCGTATATCGATTGAAGATCAACGATGAAAAACTAAAAGAAAAAAAGAAAGAAAAAGATGAAAGAACAAAAAAAAACCATGTACGAAGATTCCTATTTTATTATGACTTTTCTTTTATGTATATATATATTTGATAGATATCGGCTGTCAAATTAGCACATCGTTTATATGGTAATTGTTAATTTTCTTTTTTTTTTTTTTTTTTCCTTTTCACTTTCAAAATTAGAGTTTCGATGATGTATTATACAAATAATAGGTACGATTCCGAGAATTACTGTTATGAGATAATTGAAATCAAGTCACGTAAACATGTGTCTCATTATCTGAAAAATGTGTATGGATAGGATCGAATGCATAATTATAGATACATGATAAATGCATAAGACAAATACACGTAATAAACTGTTATTAAACAAAAAACAATATCAACAATTTGCCCATATATGCATATTTGCAATTTTCAATGTTCGAAACTTTTCATAAGCTTTTCAATAAATATAATGTTGTTACGTATAAAATATAAATGTTCTCCTCTCCGACTCTCTGTTTTTTTTTTTTTTTATTTATTATTCATTTTCTAAAAAAAAATTCTATCACTATTTCTGAATCGATCGAAACCCATATTATAAATATCTTAATAATGTTAATTTTTATTGACAATTAACATCATATACCAAATTTGATTTTCCCCTTACGTAACTACGTTACTCGTATATAATTTATCTACAAGCAGAGTATGTTACATCACATCCTCAGATAATTCGTTAGTTGAATCACACTTGGATGTTTTATTTTAATCATTTCCCGTACTTGTTACATAGACTTACGTTATGTACCGATTGCATAGACTTGTATGTACTGCAGCACATAGAGAATAAAATTGTCTGGCGAAAAGCCACGTCTGATTAGAAAAACAAAATTTATATTAATCGCAAAATGTAGACATCAAGTGTATTATGTTCTTTCTTTCTTTTTTTTTTCTTATGAAGCTCGTAATTTCTTCCCCCTCCCCTCAAAAAAAGAAAATATATATATATATATATATTCTCTCTCTTTTTCTCTCTTTCTCTTTGGCTTTTTCTCTGTTTGTATTTACGTTAGATATTTACGAAGGCCCTCGTTCCTCTTCGCTTTCAGAGAACGGAGTTAAATCATCTGGTATTTGTGGAGGTACAGGATCCTCCAAGATAATTTCATCGGATGGAGATAATCCTTGCATTAGCCTGGCTTGTTCCTCTATTTCTGGTATTTTCTCATTAATGAGTTTCTCGACGTCTATTTTATTTAATTCTTCTTGTATTCGTTTCGTGAGAGGTCCCTCGATCGCATCCATTATTTGATACCTACATATATATACATTATACATAAAAAATTTATAAAACATTTATTAAATATATAAATTATTAAAAAATATAATTTGTATCGATACACGTGACAATTTATATTTTATATTATTTATATATAAAATAAATGATAACAATATTGTTATGATCTTATTATTAATTTTATAATGATAAATAATCGATTAATACCTTAAAAGATTTGGAATTATATTGATGCTCGCTTCCATAACATAATCAAGAGTACCGGCACCGTGTATTCGCGCTTGTATATTACCCAATTCCAAATCTAGTTCTTCCAATGTTGGTCGTTTACGCGTATCAAGTGGTTGGCTTAAATTCAGTTGAACTCTGAAGTATTGAACGGTGAAGGACACTGTACCTGCTCTCGACAGGACGCCACCAATTACGCTTACTTCCCAATGCGTTCTTCCCTCGATCTCCTGTGTTCCAATATCCAAAACCGCATATACCTTTAACAAAAAAAAAAAAAAATTAATTTTGAATTTCCCCAATAAAACATTTGTATATTTTTATTATAATCGATAAATTTACCGTGCCATTTTCCATGGTAAGCGTGATGTTACCCATACGATAGAAACTTCCCAATCCGGTGATCCAAGTGTGCGATGATGTCACGGTAAAAATACCAACGTTTTGGCTATAATCCTTTACCTTAAATGGATCGTAACCCATTTGTGAAACTTGTCTACGACCCTCGGCTACTGCCATATCGAACGGTGATATAGAATTTGGGAAGTACTGCGGTAACTGAGATATTTGCTTGTTTACCTCGCCTCTAAATTTATTTTCGGATAATTAAAAAAAAAATTTTTTTTCATTCAAATTTATATTACGAATAAGAAGAGAGATTACCTCATATTGGTGTTAACTTCCTTT